TTCAAGGTCAGTCTTTTGAGGGTTTCATTTCACTCTTGAAACCTGACAAAGCGACACAGAAAAAAGACAGTGTTTTCCGGGGCCTTCCACGTCCCCCTGGCCTGGGATCCTTCGGGATCCCAGGCTCAAGCATTGGGTGCTTGTGGTACAAGGAAAGGTAGGACCGCAATTGCGAATTCGGGACAGAGATTTCTGACAACTGGGCGAGCCCGTCGTTGAGGTATATACGAGCAGTTTTCGCGGCTCCCCACCGCCCCTGAATTAGGAGGCGGTCAAAACTACCGTGGTGCTGAAAGAAAAATGTGGCTCCTCCCCTCCGGAGGGAGTATGGACGGTAGGCATAGTCTTGGAGTTTGAGGCCTTCAATGGCCTTGTTAAACAGTCGTCTCCAAGCATGTGGTTTCACTGTAAGGAAATCCTGTGGTCGAGCATGTGTTTTCCAATGGTAAAGTCCAGGGAGGACTGAAGACTCATGAATGGTTACACTCTCTGCTGCGCCTTGGCGGGCGCCAGACTTGGTCAGGCCAAGCGAAATCACGGCCGGCCCTTTCGGACTAGTGAGATAAACATCACGAGCGCGCACATTTAAAAGTTCACCTGTACGCAACAAGCCGAAAAACGCAACGCGCAGTGAAAGGCCAAACTCAGGGCACTCTTGAAGCACACTCCAACCGCATAAGGCGTTCAGTAGGTTCAGCGTGAGCGGGGGTGCACGGTTGGGAATCTCGGCGGTGTTCCATGCCTTCATGAGGCGCCAGCTTCCTGGAAGTTTCTTCTTCAGGTTTGGGTCATGGTCCTGCAGGGCCGCCAACGCGTTGTTGGCTACCGATTTTCCTTCTCCACTAGCCCACAAGTAGTCGGACACCAAGTTATCCATCTGGGAGGCCTGGGTCGGCAAGCTGAGGCCCTCCCGTGTCAACCAATCAAGGAATTGGCGGAGCGACTGGTCATAGCGGTGACGGGTGCGTGGCTGAACTGTAAGATCCTTCAACTTCCCTAAGCTCTTGCGTACTTTCTGGCGCTGTTGTTTGCTGCGGCCTTCAACTATCTTCTTCGTGCTTTTAGCCATCCTTTCCGGATCGGCCGGCGGGACGGTTTGTCCGCCGGGTTTTGCTTTGTATCAATGTAGCCCCAGGCTACATGGAGTCCGCTAGCCAACAACAACGCACTGATTTTAGCAAGAGTCCTTCGAAGTTTTCTACTACTGGATCGTCCGCGCGACAGAGCATGCAGAACCACAAGCGAATCAACAAGATGCAAGCACTTTGTCCCATACTCCTGTAGTTCCTTGATCCTCCACACCAAGGCAGTTTTCACTGCACGTAGCTCAAGCGCGTTGATATGTTCAGCTTCTCCGGTCCAACGCCACCCAACAACGTCGCGCCAACGCCACAGCTTGCCTGGGATGGACGCTCGAAGACGATGATACCTGGCCGGTATGTCTGTAGCTAACTGCAGTAGAATGTCCTCTCCCTTGACTGAGACTTGTCCCAGCAGTTTGCGCACCAGTCCCAGGGACTCTTGTCCCGGCTTGGTAGTATGTCGAAGTGGGGGGCGCATGAGCAACCCGGCTAAAACGGGGCACTTGCCTGGAGTCAGGTGGTCCACAATCTCTTGAACTGTCTTCTCTTCATTCAACCCCAACGTGGCAAAGAGACAATGTAGCAAGAACGCAACCACAGGCACCGACCAACTGTTTCCTAGCAGCGTAAGCCGGACATCGTTGCAACGAGTGGTTCCTACCTCAGCCTTAGGCCGCACTTTGCTGTATACTGGGAGGGGAATCCAAGGATCACCTCCCTTTCCACAACCGAGGGCACGCGAACATCGCCCTGGGAGTTGCTGACTGAGTTCTCCCATCGATATTGATAAGGCGGGAACCTGTGCTTATCAGCATGCCACCGGGCCTTAGCTTCGGGCGGACACAATGCCAAACCTGCGGGTTTGCGACCTGGAGTCTCAGATGGCCGTGAGGTGGTGAATGTAGGGAAACGCCCAGGCGAATTAAGCTTCCAACCTGGCTCCAAGAAGTCTCGCTCATCTATCGTCGCCTCCAGGTGAATGGCCCCGGCCAACGGGAGTCGATGACTGTCGCCTGGCACAACTGTGGCTCCAATGAGAGCTCTGGGCTCCCAATTGAACCAGTACAAGCGGGGCCGCCGACACAATGACAAGCCACTAGCGTCTACCTGCCAAGGAGAAAGGTCGTACGCCTCTGACATAGTGCGGCGCATCCATGGAAGCGACGTTCTCAATGAGAGTGAAGGTGGGACACCAAGTGAAAAATCTCTTGAGGATGCTTTCAATCCTAGGGACATGAGCGAACAGGCAAGATCTCACATCACGCAACGCCCCTCGCCTATCAGTGTTCAACCCCGAGACACCTTGACACGGGGGTCCAGCCCCAAGAAGCACCGCACACACTCCGGGGAAACGCAGGCACCAACTACTGACCTCATGCTCATCAATGCACTGCACATCCTCGATCGCGATGACTTCGGGAAACCAGCTCTCCACGACACGACGAGCCTCAGGCGATATCTCAACAGACACATACCCCGCAACAGGTACCTGCAACGAATCGACAGCTACACGCAGGGCTCCAATGCCGTCGAACAGCGACACCACCAAGATAGACCCGACCTCATCCTGGGAGATCAGGTCTCCCCTGCAACTGGCCATGCTAGCTGCGACGCCATAGGGACTGAGTTGCTTGGATACGCACAAGCCTCCACCTGTAGTCGAAGCGTCACTGGCGGTCACTTTCTCTGAGATGGGGGTCCGGAAGTCCATGTAGGCGAGGGGTATCAGTGCAACAAACCGTAGGAGTTCATGCTCTACCTCTGGCCCCAGAGGCGCCCGTTGAGTGGGCTTCAACTTGCTGAGCTCTACGACCCGCCTCCAGATGGCATTAAGCCCTGACAACAGAGGACGCCTAAACATAGCAATGTATACAAAGCCTCCCCCAATGACTTGGAGCTCACGCTGCGAAGCCTTTCCTTGAATCACCGCCTCACAAGCTAGCTTCACATACCTCATCACCTTGTCCGGCTTTGGCCCTGCCTTGCCTAGATCTCCGTTCACCCAAGCACCCTGCACCTCGGCCTTCACTTGCTGAGTCACTGCTTTCTTTGGATGACGAAGGAGACCGAGCGTTTCATATGTTTGCCTTACTGCCAGGGTCCACGCTGAGGGGCTACCGGCGATCACTTCGGCAAGCTGCCTGTCAACCTTCTTGAGCTCGTCATAGTTATCTAGATAGACCCGAAACAGATGGGGTGCGCTGCTAGAAGCTCGATCTCGTCTGATCTCTTGATGCCCTGACGCTAGCCTAGCCTCACCTGTCAACGCCTGATTGATCACTCTTCTGTGCACATGCTGTGCAATAGCGACAGAGTTGATGAATCCCATAGGCAACACTTGTGTGACCAGGTGCCATCCTCCTCCAGTGTAGCCACTTGGGAGGGCCTCTTTAGGAACCTCCCGTCCAAATCCCATGTACTTCCACCAACTCGGGGGCGTCCGAAACAGGTAAAAGAAACAACGGATATCCTCTGATGAAGTCACCAGAAGCTGGTTGTCGTCAAGCACTATGGATGACATACCTACAACACTCGGAAGAGTTGAAGTGTCTCCAACCAAGCTCCTGCAGCACCCATTGGTGGGGACCAGATTCATAATCAGCCTACAAACTTCAAAGACGTTTCCTTGGGCATCTGTGGCTTGCTCCTGCTTGCTGACTGCAAACAGTCCGTTCATCAAAGGTCGTCCTCCTATGTGATGGGGTTCACTAACATGCATGAGTCGACACACACCCCGACGAACGAGTCCTGAACAGACCTCAGCCCAGTGGCTGGCCTCCACCATGATGCTGGGCGCTTTCCCCAAGTGCTGATCCTGGGGCGGCAGGAGAAAGTCTTCAAAGTTCTTCACGTAGGCCAGGGTTCCACCCTCACACACCACCAACTCTAGACTCCCTACAGCTTCGGGGAATGCAGCCTCCACCATACGCCAATTGAATCGACGTGCGACCTGAACGATCTCTCCGGAGTAGTCGACCGAACGTGCTTTGAAGAACTCCCCCAAGTCAAGATCAGGAACCTCACAACCTCTCACCTCCGAATCTTCCACCACCTTCAGCAACCGGTTTACCATATTCAACCGTGTTTTGTCCTCCCTCAATCTTTCTATGGTTCTCGTCCCATACAATGAATTCAATGCTTGCACCAATGCATCTGCACAAAAACCTTGGAATCCTATGGCTTCCAGAGACGAAGGAAGGGGCAAGGGGAATAGACCCCCTTTGGTCTCGCTGCAACGCGTAAATGTCCTTTCTTGCACCTTCAACGTCTCTACAAGCACCTGCCCAAGCTCCTCAAAAGTCAAATCCTTTTTTCGACATGCTGTAGCAAGGTTGAGGCGACAGTCTTCAAATGCTTGCCGCCCGCTTGAGTCCAGCAATGTCCTTCTCGACCTGCTTTCTGGCAGGGAGGTATGGCCACTCGAAGCGTTTCTTCCAGCTCCGCCATTGCTGTCATCAACCCTTCGACTCAATCGCTGGGAGTTCCGCTCCCGTTTGGAGAATTTTCCACCCATCAACTTCAACTCAATGTCACCAGGCTCATCCAATGCGGCGTTTCCACTGACACCACACTGGGAGCCTTGGGGCTCCCCTCTCAACTCCTCATACGGCCATTGGCCAATCTTCCGCCTCTTGCCCTCAAGTCTGCTCTGCTTCAAGCCCTTTTCCCGAGAATCCTTCAACAACCAGTCTATAGCCTCTGCATCCTCACTCTGTTCAACCTCCTCATGCATCTTCTCTGTCCAAGCCTCCTCTTTCCGCCTCCGATCCTCTGCCTCAACCAAACCTCTTGTTGTCCCTCCCTCAATGATGCCTTTTGCGGCGTGTACACTCATCATTCTTTCTGCTTTGCCTTTCCCTTTCCCTTCTTTCCTTTGTCTCCTTTTCCTTTCTCGTTGGGGGGGACGTAACGATCCTTGCCTTTGCCACTCGAAGCCTCTCCTCTCTCTCGGCCGGTCGACCCATAAGGTCTCTGGGAGGCCAGTCTGTTTCTCAGCTCCTCCCTTGCATTGCGAGCTGCCTCCGCCGATTCGGGCCCTTGGCTCAGTCCAGTAGCATCAGCGGAAACAAGCTCTAGTTGACGGGCCACAGACCAATGACCTCCTCGGGACTGCTGCTCTAGTGCCTTCACCCTCTGTGCCAACAAGTCAACTGTGCGGGCTATATGCCCTTGTAGCAGGAGGTCTGCCCCCTGGCACAGCGTCAGCAACTCCTGACACATCGACGGTCCACATAGGCCCTGGAGCTCCGTCCTGAAATATTGTGTGAACAGCGGGGGTAAGCTCCTCTTGTCTTGCGAATGCAAGGTCCCAGCCAAAGTCAGCGTCGCTTCTTTCATGCTGCTAATAGTTTGCGACGCTAGGCTGCCCGGAAATCGCCCGGTCAATTTCAGAGCTTTCCTCCTCTCTTCAAACAATCCCTCCTCCAAATCTTCGTCCTCGCTATCGCTGGATGAGGAGGAACTGCTAGCATCGCCACTACTCGACTGCCTCTTCTTCTTGGAACTCTTGTTGCTAAACCTTCTCGCCCTCTTCAACATCTTCAGCGTTGAACTCACTTCAGGGTCCAGGCAGGTTCCCCCGAAGATTGCCCTCAGGGGCTTTTGCCCTCTTTCATAGTCATGGCCTTCCGCATCACCCTCAACCTCATCTTTCCTCAGATGGAGCTTGCTTGCCTTCTTCTCCTTTTCTCTTGCCTTTTTCTTTTTCTTCTTCTTCTGTTTCTCTGACCCTTCACTGGGAGGTGGATCCTCCCCTGCCTCTCTCTTCTTCTGCTCCTCGTGCAACTTCCGCAATGAACTCATCTCATCAACTGCTCCCGGCCTTGCCTCAACCTCCTCATACATAGTATGCCAGGGCCGCCTATCTTCTTCGACGAGCCAATAGCCTGCAGCGTGGATGATGTCCGGGCCTGTTTCTTTTCGTCCACAATCCGGTCCGCACACGTGCAGGTGGAAGATGCACCTCTTGGGGTCAGACAGAAACTCGGTCATGTGGTCCGACTGCGTACCGGTTGCTCGGAAGGTCAGGTATCCATCATCTTTACCAAGCCCTTCCACATAGCCCGCTAGTTTGATGTGCCCTTCATAATAGGACGCTTGGGCGAGCTCCACCAGGCCGAGGGTTCTCAACTGTACCGCGGCCAGCTCTTTGAAGGAATGCAGTCGGGTAACCTTTTTGTCGGCTTCCACGTGCTTCGCAGGCCTTTTCCGCAACGCCGGACTTCTTGTGGCCGGTCTTGCTCGAGGAGGCATTATCTCCGGCGATTGAAGAGCTCCTGCTTCGCACGACGAGTCACTCCTTTGTTCTTTCCTGCCCACCACCTGGGGTGGTTGGACCAGGGCACTTTCCCGATCCAACCGGGGCCTTGGCGCACTGCGGGCCGACCGGGGTTTCGGGCTGGTGGCCTTCGCACTGGAGGTTCACGCACCGGCGGGGGCGCTGGTGGAGGCCCAGGTGGTGTGTGTGGGCTTGGAGGCCTAGCGGGAGACTTGAGTCTCACAGGGGCGGCCTTCTTCGCCTCCCGGACACGGGACCCAGTCACGGATGAGCTACCCGTGGGCGATCTTCTTCTTCGCCGGCCTTTTTCCCTCTCTCTCCGCTGTTCTCGCTTCTTCTTCTTCTTGTCTCGACTCCTCGAACTGGGAGAGGAACGTGACCTCTCCCGTCTCCTCCTTCTTCTGGATCTTTCCTTCTTCTTGCGGCTGGGCTGATCAGGCTCTTCTCGAGCCTCAACCTCGACTTCCTCAGCGGATGAGCTCTTCTTGTTTTTGGCCGGAGTGGCTGGTTTTGTCTCGGATCGTTCAACCTTGGGGTTTGGTGCTCGCTGGCTTGGCGTGGGCACCCTGACTGTCTGGGAGCTGTAGCCTCTGTTCACGCTCCCCTGGGGTTCTGCCGGGACCGGAGGTGGTGGTGGCAAGGGTAACCTATTGGGACCCTTGCTCGAGCTGGATGGGCGGCTTGGTGTCTGAAGATGCTGACCTCGTTTGTCCTCCGGGGGTCTGGTAAGGGGCTCGGCTGGTCGACTGGGTCTCTCGGGGTTCTCGGTTCTCTTGGGTCCTTCGGGCTTTTTCTCTGGGATCTCTCGGGGCTTGCCTTCTGTCTGATCTTTCTCCTCTCGGGCTGCTTTGTCTCTCTTATTCAGGCCTTTGATCTCCTGAAGCCAATCCTCTAAAAGTCCAAAGCAGCCTTCGAAAAAGACGACGGCGGATTCGTCTTTTCCGGGCGGGATCACGTTCCGCAGACTCACCTGCAATTGGTAAGCCTTACGGCACGGCCCACACGTCGCCACCGACTTGTCGCGAACAACAAAATGTCGGCAGCGATCGCACACTGGGAGAGGAGAACTTTTCTCCTCTCCCATCCACACTCACTGAAGCCCCAATGCTACGGTGAAAAGGTGACCTGCTCTGTGATTAATCATGGGGGCATAAGATCATACAAAAGAAAAACTGAACTTTAGCCATATCTTTCGCCAAACAAACCTTTCGCCAACTCGAGAAACACAACATCGCCAAATGAGGTTTTGACATGCTCCAAGGTCATCGTCATCAACAATTCCTATTAGGACCTTTAGATCGACAACCATATACATCTATTGTCATACACATACCATTTGTTTAACGATCTAAACAACAAACCCGCAACATGACGAGCAACTCATCACCGCAACATGACGAAGGAACAGTTCCAAGGAACTTGAAGAGGAAACGGTTGAACCCGGCATCAGTTTCTTAACTCCAGGTCTGGCAAATTGGAAGCCCAATTTTTTGGGTTGAGATGGAAAGCTGAAGAGGTGACAACAAAATGAGTCGAACAAACTACAAAAACATGAGTCATCTTCTTTTAGGCGCCAAAAGTGAAGACTCTCCATGCGGTGGTGTTTCGTCTGATCCAGGTCCAGTCTCCCAGTCCTGACCAAACCCATTGATGAGTTTTGGTGAATCAACTCCAGTACATCTTGAAGTCCCATCCTGACCTGCTGACCTGCTCCTGATGGATGCGAAGTGCGGGGTTGAGTTGGGTCCCGGTCGGGTCCCAATTCGCTCGCGGCTCCGCTGCCAGGCAGCGAAATGCAGATTGGTGATGAGGTGGCGCACCTGGAGCCGGCACGGAGAAATGGCCCGTGGATTCGCGAAGCACCGGGTCACGCGACGAAGGGCCCTTCCCGGCGAGAAACCCGGGGGGAAAAGACACCCGGGGGAAGAATCTCAGTCGAACATCATGCCTCACATCATGAACACAACCATTCCCCCTTCCTTCCTTCCTCCCGCTAGCCCTTCCTTCCTTCCTTCCTTCCTTCCTTGCTTCCTCTTCCTTTCTTGCCTCGTTCAGCATTTCAGTTGGTTCACCGACTTGTCGCGATTTCCACCGGGTTTGTGTCGTGGAGGTCGGTGACTTCTGCTGAGCACCAGGACTCTGTGGAGATGTGTTTTGGTAGGTCTTTGCCCCTTTGAAGCTACTAGGAGAAAAGGGCATCGCTACTACTAGGAGCAAGGACGCTATGCTCGGTGGAGGCCAGTAGGTTGGAGGCCAGAAGCAGGGAATCGTTTCATCTGTAGTAACAAGAGGCTACTAATTACTAGGAGCAAAGGCTGACCCACTCCCATTGTGTTCCTCTCTACCCAAGCGCCGCGTCTCGGCCCAGATGCCCAAGTCGAGCCAGCTTTGGGATAGCTCGTGATCCACACGTCTGCCACTCTCCTTGGCACCCCAAACAGCCAACAGCGTCCTCAAAGAGTCCAAAAGCTTAGGAAGAATGATAGAGGTCTGTAACCCCCTAGGCTCCTAGGCTATTCTATACAGTATGCAATATAGTCATGATTTGGGTCTATTCCATTACTAGTCACATCCAGTAACAGGGGATGATTCATGATGATGAAAACAGCTTGCAGTCCTTTAAACAATGTGATGCTCTTGTGTAGACAGTCATGACAGTCCACAGAGATGTCCATCCGATCCAACCGATCTGGGCTGGCGACCATGGGCGACCCCTCCCCCTCCGTTTCGAAGATGGGCCGGAGGTGGGTGGTCTTGGGGTGGTCAGTCCCCACCGAACCTGAGGATATGGGGCGTTCGGAGCCTTGGGGTGTGTGTCACCACCCACCAAGAGGGCATCTTTCCCCCGGGCCGGACACCTGGCAACGTGGGCACCAGGCAAGTCGTTCTTGATCCATCTCCACGGTAGGGATTGTAGGTGTCCTGCTGAAAGAGTCGAACTGCAGTACCAAAACGGCAGTTCCAAAACTGAAGAGTCTCACCTGCGAACCGTGTTTGCTATCACGTTCTGACCCTGTAACCCAGACACTCCATGAGAGTGCCATAAGGTTTTGGGCCGGGGGTCAATGTATATATAGGCATATATGTATGTATGCATATGCATATGCATCTGTGGCAGTCCGGAGTGTCTAACTAACAGTGCTGACTCCTCTCCTCCGCCTTCCTCCGCCTTCCTGAAGTGGGCGAGTGTCGGTTCATCTTCTGGGAAGCGGATGGGCATCTCCTCTGGGAGCTCTTGACACGCCTCCTGCGGTGATTGCTCGGTCGACGAGAGGGCGGTGCCAGGTAGGCTGTTACGACCGAGGTCAGGAAGAGGGCCCCTCTATGAAAACCAAGCAGCGCCATCGATGCACTTCACAAACCACCAACTCAAATGGGCAAACATGGTGAGAATGGCCCCTAATTATCATGAGACAAATGCTCCATTAATTTGTGCTTTCATTTGGGAAGATGGGAACATTGATTTGCGAAGAATTCTTGGGGCACCGGTACCGGTGGGAATTTCCTGGTATCAACATTGATCATGGAACCTGATGCCATGGACCTTCTGGCCAACGATTTTCATGGACAACCCAGTGGTTTTCAGCTTCCGCGTGGGTCTCAGAACCAGGGCGTAGACTCTCCACAAATTCGATCACCAGCCCCCACGAATTCCCAACGGAACGCCCTCGTTGGAACAACGGAGCCAGCCGTCGACGTGGCCTTGCATTGCTGGCAGCTGCGAAGCAGCAAGCGCTTCGCACAGCTGCCTGCGACTATTCTGTTTCATCTTTGTCAAGGAATTGGCCGGCCTTTCGGTTCGGTTCTCTTTCGATCGGATCTAGTCTCCTTGCTGATTCCCTTGGGCCCATCCAGGATTCCTCTGACGTATGTCGTAAGGAGTCGATGTCAAACACACACACCGTCGCTGTCGCGGCCGGCTGCCAGTCCGGCTGTAGCCAGTCCAGTCCGCTGCTCGACTTAATGAACATGTTTTCAAGAGGTGTTGTTTGCATCCGCCTCACCTGAGCCGTGGTTGAAACCAGCCATGACAAGACTTCCTCATAACAATAGCCCGGGCTCTTCTAGGAAAAAACAAACAAACCTCACTTGGAACCACACATTCCTTCCGGAAGCTTTCCACCCTGGCTGACTGAGCTTTGCACCCTGGCTACATGCTGCGAGGGAATCTCAACCATACAAAGGTTCTTTCTATACTGTTTTTTTCCTGGTGATTGGACCTTCTGATGACTTGCCTTTCAGAGAGGACAAGCACCTGGCTGACTTCAGGAAGACTTATATACATACAAAAACTGGTCCAGTAGAATACATTGTATACTAGAGGCAGTTCCTCTTGCACGGCCCTTCTGACACTTAAACCGTTCTCTTCGACACGCACACACAGCCTGTTCCTCATTCTGACACAGCTCCAGGGACGTTGAACAGTGAAGCTCGACAGAACCCATGGAGTTTCCGCCGTATGTGACACTCATGGAACATACAGTGCCTCGTGATATTCGTCATGTGCATGCCCAGACACTCCATGTATGCCATATATGCCTACATTGGGGTGGTTTGGGGGGTCAATGTAGGTATATGGCAGTCCCCATTGGTCGCGTCTGGGATGAATCATGGTGTACCAACGTCTTTGCCGCATCCCCCGGACGCTCCGCCCCGGACGCTCCGCCCCGGACGCTCCGCTCCTTCGCGCAAGGCCTTGCGCTCCTCGATGAAGCCATGGCATCGCCTCGGACGAAGCCCTTCGCACCGGTGACCGACGAGCTCGGGCTCGGTCGGGCTCGGTCCGTTGGATCCCCCAACGGAGCGCTCAACATCACCGGTGCAAGCGGTGCGTTCGGCCGGCAGTAGACATCACCAGGTCGCAGTTTGGAAGTCTTTGCCTGAACGGATTCTGTTGGAAAGAACGGATTCCGCCACCGGCAGGAAGCTGCCGCGTCGGATCGTATCGCGTCGGATCGTCCATGCAACGCACCATCGTGGTCCCCCTATAGTCCGTCACAGATGTCCATTGGGCGAAACGAACGCCCCATATCCTCAGGTTCGGTGGTTGGAGCCCCTTTTTGGGGACTTTATGAAGACCATCAACCTCTTCAAATGCTCCAACAGTGGGAATCGGAACCGAACAATCAGACTGAAAACATGGAAAAAGCAGTCTTTCACGTTTAATATCCAAACACTCCATGTATGGTATAAAATATGCCTAGATTGACCCCTGAAAGTAACTCTATGTATGGATTCATATGTATGCCAGTCCCATGGAGTGTTGGGGATATGTTTAAGACCCGTCTATAAGACCAATTGCCGCAGAAGGCACGCACCACAGCTCTTTAGACAGCCACTGCAGCGCTTCATCTGCAACTCGCCTCAGGTGGTTTGCGTCGTGGCTCTTTGGTTTTTCTGTGCTGCGACGTCTTCGCAGATATAGCCTGGTGTGTGTTTTGATGCGCGAGTGGTTTTGCAAGCACGAAACATGAGTCTGGTTCAAACGCCTTTTCTGGCAGTTCTATGCTTTGACCAACTCCACTGGCTGTGGGGATCTTGCTGGTCATCTGGTGATGTTGCTGTACATCCGCACCCTGGTCACCAATTCAGAAGAAGTGACTTCGGTTCAGGGTCGAAGGCTCAAGGCTGTGTGTGCTATTTATGATTCATGGTCGACGGTCGAAGGAAGAAGCATGTCTGAACGGCGGAACTGAATTCGCAAGGCATCAGTAAGATTATGCTTTGAGTCCCTGTGAATTCTTTGGTACTTTTACTGTCTGGGCCTAATCACTCAACACTTGGTCTATGTCTATTTCCCTCACTCCTTGCGGCACACTTGATGATGGCTAGGCTGGGGAGCTCTTGTTTGGTGCCAATTTTCAAGTCCCTGTATATACTAACGTGTGTGACATACACGCATGTTCAGTACTCATCTTGTTGATCGACCCAACCATGTGCGAAAGTCAAAGTCACCAACGCAGAAAAGAACAAACAAATAGAGAGAGGAGCACGGTGAGCAAAAGTCAAAGTTTCCGTTTGAGAATACAGGGCAACAGATTCAATACTTGTGTTGCACCACAGGCCATCGCTATCAGGTTGGAGGCGACTTTACATTTCATTTGTATTGCCCGCAAACCTTCCATGTGGAGACACATTCACAGTTTGAAGGCATTCTTTTACACAAACAATTTCTTTCCAAAATTGCATATAGTATAGGCATATAAGGCCCCAACAACCACGAGACATGAGACATTTCTTCGTATGTTTGGTCTCCCCAGTCAGATCACCTCTGTATCATCTCCCAGAAACGAACCATGTTCGCCACTTCAACCATATTGTTAGTACTTGTTACATTGGTATCAAGTGCATATTATCAAAATAAACATAGACTCATCATGCAAACAAACACTTCACAACCCTCAGTTTCAGGTTGTCAGGGTTGTGAACAAAGGTAAGATGTTTACTTGAACAAATGAGTTGGACAAGGAAGGGATACTCTTTGACAAAGGGTAAGGTCAGGCTGATATCTGTAACCTTACAAGGAGGATGTTTTTACTATGGGCCTGCTGAATTGGGTGAAAGCAATGTGCTTTAAGAACTGTGGTTCAATAAAATCAACAACCGGTCTTTGCAATGGTTTCTTACACACTTTAACTTTGGGTGAACTTGAGGAATCAAGACCAAGCATATCTCCAACATGATCTCTACGCAAACAGCAAATGAACATCAAACACACTTCGTTGCAAGGACTATGACGGTCAGAGGCCGGAATTGCTCTCTCTCTCTCTCTCTCAGGCGTATTTTCCGATCAGAGGGTGAACGTATGACCGACTTCGCAGGGTGACTTCGCGAAGCGATCCGACGCGAGGACCCAACCTGCTCGGCTCGGCTCGTGAATCTCGTCCCATCGCGGTCGTCGAACACATCGTCGTCCCATCGGCACACGTCGAACGCTGAAAACCCGTGGTTGGAGAGAGCGAAGCTTCCATCTGTCCAAGAAAACATGTCTCTTTTTGATGCAAACGGGTGAAAATACATCAAACCAGTCTTGGAACCTCTTGTCTTTGTCTGGACTGGTTTTCTGCTTCCAGCTGTCTGGTCTCGGAATTCTTCTCTTGGCCCGACTGGTTCTTCATTCCCTCGTTTTTATGTCCTGACTCGTTGTGTATGGACGAGCTCGCAACGCCGCGCTCCCCGTTTCGCGCCCCGTTCGCCGCTTTGGAATTCGAATTCGCGGTCTGGGACGCAGAAACCTCTTTGGTTTGAACCTTGGCTTCAAGACGATCTGCACAATTCCGTTCGCGGGGGCGCAAAGGAACCAGTTCTATCACAAGCATTTAACCCGGGAATCCCAACAAGCAAAGGTCCCAAGACAAGGGTTGCCTCTTTTTAAGTTAATTGCTTTTTGTTTTTTTTTCTGGGCAGATTCCAGTTGTCTAGGAACTTGTGGAAAAGCACGGATGCTGACAAAGACTAGAGCAAGGGGACAGTATGAAAGAATCCTCATAGAAGGCATGAGGTACAGTTTGCACGCAAAAGTCTACCAACAAAAATGTGTCTTTGGAAGAGTGCACAAACAACCCGGCACAGAGAGCGCTTCTGTCTGAACAAATAAGATGTTCATAACATAACTTAACCTTCAAATCTCTGATGCCCTTGCAGCCCACATAGCCCGGCGAGGGCTCCGCCCGGTGGTGAGAGCGAGGGCTCTCAAAACCGCCGGAACAACGGGGATCCCAGTGGCTGCGTCCATAGCTGCTGATGCAAAAGGGCTCGCAGGTCGAGTGCTCCTGAGGTCTTGTTGCACTGAGAGGCCATTTGGGCGAGATCCTCTTCCAATTCTCGTGAAATGTCCAGAGTCTGAGGAGAAGCATTGACGAAGTCCAAGTGGTTAGCGACGAAACAAATAAAGACTGCATCCATGGACGAACCAAAGAAAGGTTCAATTTCACTTCACGTTGACGGTTGACGTTACGTTTTTCAGGCTTTGTAGGCCTTGTAGGCCGCTGTTGCTCATCGTTCGCGAACCTCATCGTTCCGCGAACGAACGCAAGTCTACGTGGCTCTAGCGACTCCAACATCCTGGTGACGTGAAGTGGCCAGGCCCCCGATGTTGGTCCTTCTGAACATCGGAAGTTAATAACGTGGTAGACCACTCACTCCACTCACCGTGATTTCAAATTGACTGTAAAGCATTTCTCCGTGAAAACTGGTGAACACCTGTCGCGATCCTCGGCCCAACGCGCTCCCGCGCCATCATCCTGATGGCAGAAGCGCTCGGCCTCACACTCCGTGGAGGAGGTGCAGCGGCCTCGCGATCGAGAAAGCGAGCTTTCGGTCCTCGAAGGGCGGCGTAGTTTTGGTTAAAGCCTGTCATAGCCTGGGCCCACGTCCGAAAAAGAAGGTTGTTGGGGTGCCAAGGGGGCAGTTTATCCACCAAACCTGAGGAAATCGGAGCACCATAGATAGAAGTTCGTAGATCCCCAGGTAGAAAATGTCTTGGACACCGTGCCACGACTACTACTTGGGGACGCTTTTTGAAAGCCGGTCTTCAAGCAATTCAGTTGGTCTTGGCATCGAAAAAAAAATGCGATGTTGGGATGCTTTTTAAAATGCCATGTTGACAAATAGAGAAAACCTTGACAAACACAAGCAAACAGGAGAACAGCCTGTTGGTCTTCCGACAGAATCCAAAACTCCTCAGGCCTAAACCACGTCGCTTGGGATTTGCAAAAACTACAAGAAGAAGCGCGCAACGAAAATAACTTCACATGACCAATGAATTAGAGATGAGATAGACCCAACCAATATATATACACTTAAATATACACCAATTACACTTGCATACACTTGAGATGGCTTCACAAACTAACTCAGTTCTATTCAATGATTCAATCTCAAATACTAATTCCTCTGAGCAAAACGGAGTATCTAGGCATATCCAGGCTATGGTTTGTGCAGGCTATGGAAATGCAGTTCCACTTCTCGCGCCTGCACCTCCCTGATGTCCAGACGAGCACTTTCCGCTTACGTTGGCGGGGTGATCCTGTCATTCGTGGAACGATGTCACAAGTTCCCAGTGAATTCCAGTTGTATACCCCAAACACTCCGTGTAAGGTATATATATATATATATTATGCCTCCCCATTGACCCCATTGAAACCACCCCAACGTATATATGCCGTACATGGAGTGTCTGGGTACTAAGAATATATAAGGTACCAGGGTTTCGTTCAAAGGTTGAAGTCTTTGGAACCACTTATACTGGTTTGCCTGGATCCACTTGGGTGATTTAGCTCTTTGTTTTGCCTATGCCTGGAGGAAATAGTATCGTTTTCCCTAGCGCCTTAGCAGCTATTAAGTTAGTTATTGTGGATGGTCAAATGGATTTTGGAGCCACCGTCTCAGAAGTGTATGATTTAGGCAAGGTTGATGCTGCAGAGCTCAGCACTCAGCACCCAAAGTCGGATGTGTCTTCAGCAAAAGCACAGTCTCCACACGGACGTGTCACAAGGGACGTGTCTTGGTGAAGGGGAATTGGTGGAGATCATCACCATTTCACCAGGTGTTTGAATGCGTTTGATGGCAAAATCGTTCAGTGGAAGTGGGAGCTGCCTTACAAGGTGCGGATGGTTGGGAGACGCAAACAAGGTGGAGTGACACCGGTAAATGACTTACAGGAGAATATCGGGTCAACTATCCACTTCGGTGGTAGATACACACGACACTGGCAGTAGAATATTGGGTCAACTGTCCACGTCGGAGGATATACACGCACACTGAACGCTCACAATGTGCAGTGCTTCCCTGGAATAACAATATTGATACCAGCATTAAGAACAGCACAGCTCCCCAATTTTTTTGTTTGCGTATATAGATCTGTTTTTGTTTTATTATCAAAACACCCTAACAATATAACTTAATGTTACTTACAGTATCTTACAGCATGACTAGCGCTTTGGTACAAAGCCATGCCATACAACCAAGCAAACAACAAACAACTTGGAATCAAAAGAACAGTGACAAACCAACGCAGCATTATGTTGTTAAAACAATTCTGACAATTTGCAGAAATTCAACAAATCAACATTCAATAGGAGCATCCTGAAAGGGCATCCTTTTCCAGGGTGAATGATCGCGTGGTAGAGCTCTTACTCATAGCCACCAATGAATAAACTCTCGTAATGGAGATTTCTCTTTGGTGAAGTAAGTACACCGTCTCCATGTTGAAAGTAACTTTAAAGTGGCAACCAGGAACAAGCAAACCATGTGCTGGGGTGAGGCCATTTCGCTCCAGTTCGTGGCTCTGCCTATCATCCATGTCTTCATTTGACCCGTTCCTCCAGAAGCATCTGTGCGGCACAGAAGAGACAGGCTTTCACCGGCTCAGGACCCGACATGTCTGCGCGAGAACTTTCTTCGTAACAAAACACCATCTGTTTTGGGACTGGCCAAATCTTGTTGCGATCAGCAAAGGGGTGTCCTTTCTCCATTCTTCAAAATCAATGCCAGTCCGAGTTTTTGGATATGGACTCTAAGGAGGTTTCGATCCCAACGCTTAGCTTCCAAAAGATATGCAAACAAGAACGTCTATACAACTGTCCAGGCCTGCATCTTGATGAAGTGTGAATGCTAGCTGCTGGCTGGCTACTCCATTGACCAGCCGTGGAAAAAAAAAACACAGAAAACACGACCACATCAATTCTCTCAAGAAAGAAGCTTAAGCTGTTGCGCAACAAGGTGCGCTAGTTTACGAGGAATCTCCCCGGTGAAG